GGGTCTTCCAGATTTGGATTAGAAGGTTTTCAGAACCGCAGTGTTCTCTAGGTGAGACTTGCAAACCTTCACAACAGATGTAGTCTATCAATTGTGATTCATGAAAGAGTTCAGCTAGAAGAACTGCATGCTGATTGGAAACTAACTTCTTTGATGTCCTTGTCTACACCCTTCCTCCTCACCTACTCCCATCCTCTGTCTTCCTGTCACCCTTCTCATTCTCTAGGTGTCAGTTTCTGGGATGTCCAGGGCAGGTGGCCTTGGGGGGCTCAGCCCCAAAACACAGACCACCAGAACAGATAATTCCACGTCTTAAAGACTACACAAGCCTCTAAAGATGGACACATCCACATGTAGAGACTCCCGCACAGCTGCATGAAAGAGAGGCCAGACGTCACCTCTGCTGGAATCACTTTTTATTGAACCAACGTCTTGTTCTCCCTCTACAGCCCCCCAATATTGACATTCCATCAAAGGAATAATAATCCATTCATGTATTTAGCACTACAGATCTACAAGTGGAGAGCAGGTAATGGATGATGACTCAGTGTAAATGGCTATTCCTCAGCACAGATCAGTGCTAGTCTCTACTGCTCAATCTTCCCCCTCCTCTCCCCCTTACTCCACCTCTCTGCTCTCCTTTCCTGTACACCGCTGCTGCTTGTTGTCCAGTCCTGCCCCCCCCCTCCAACACCATGGTAGGTGCAGGCTTGGGTGTTTGGAAGCTAATGCGAGGTGTCCGCCAGCTGGAGCTTCACCGCCTTATCCTGGCACTTATCATCTTCTGCTTACTGTCCATGGCCTTCCTAGCTTACTATGTCTCCAACAGCCCAAAAATCAAGGAGGCACCCCCTTTACCCTTTAGTGACTGTGGTGGAGGAGGAGGGATTTCACCGGGTGTGAGTACTGGGGACGCTGGAGGGGGGCCAGGTATCCAGAGGGCCCCGCTTTTTCTTCCACAGCGCCAGGGTCGACTACGACAGGTAAAGGCGGTGGACATTTCCAGGACAGACGCCGTGGTTCTGGTGTTTGTAGAGAGCATCTACTCCCAGCTGGGCCAGGAGATTGTAGCAATATTAGAGTCTAGCCGCTTCCACTACCGGACAGAGATTGCTCCTGGTAAAGGAGACATGCCCACATTGACAGAGCATAACCGTGGACGTTACACACTGATCATCTATGAAAATGTTTTGAAATATGTCAATCTGGATGCTTGGAACCGTGACTTGCTGGACAAGTACTGCGCTGAGTATGGAGTAGGAGTCATTGGCTTTTTCAAAGCTAATGAAAACTCTCTTCTCAGTGCACAGCTCAAAGGCTTCCCCCTCTTTCTTCACTCACACCTGGGTCTCAGGGACTACCGCATAAACCCCAATGCCCCTCTACTCTTCATCACCAAGCCCAACCAGGTGGAGCAAGGCCCTTTACCAGGGGACGACTGGACCATTTTCCAGTCCAACCACTCTACCTATGAACCAGTGCTTCTGGCCAGCACCAAGTCCTCCGAGGCACTGGCCCATTTTGGTCCTGGCCCCCTGCGGGCGCTCCACGCCACAGTGGTCCAAGACTTGGGGCTCCACGATGGCATTCAAAGAGTTCTCTTTGGAAACAATCTTAACTACTGGCTTCACAAGCTGGTGTTTGTAGACTCCATTGCCTACCTGACGGGGAAGAGACTGTGTTTGTCCTTGGACCGCCACATGCTGGTGGACGTGGATGATATATTCGTTGGCAAGGAGGGAACCCGCATGAAGGTGTCAGACGTGGAGGTGGGTGAGCCAGTCACACAAGGGACCACAACTAATCAGACATTAACTTTTGTTGGCTCACCTGGCATAGTTGTGGTTTCTGAGTTGTTCACACAAAAAATATTCATTTTAAGAATATGTTTTTTTATTATTTTAATGGGGGCATTATATGCCATAAGGTTAAAGTTAAAGAATAATGTGCTTACAATACAATTCTAAAGATTCTTATTAATGAATTCAAGGCATATCTTTGATTGAGGGGCCTTCACTTGGCTCGAACACTCAATGAACGCATGCTAACAAAACCCAAACCTCACATGCACTAACATGCACGGCTAGATTACAGCTGGATTACAGTCTCTGCTGTCATGTAAAAAACTGAAAAATATGATGTCAGTGTTGCTTTGTGTTTCTGATGAAAACAATTGGAATAGTGGAACAAATCTGGTATTGTACATTTTAAAGAACAATACAAGTAGTTTTGCGTGTTAAAGACAAATAGCTTCTCGGTGCGTACACCTTCCATTAGTGGCAGACATTTCCCAGCCATATATTGACTTTGGTCATATTTTGCCTGATTGTTAACATTTACAAAATTATTTTTTCAAATTGGCAAACCACCTTAGAATTTAGAGTTTCAGCTTTTCTAAATGTATTGCACATAACAAATCTAATGTAACTACATATGACTAAGGGTTTTTTAGATTACTGAGGTTTTAGCCGAAATGGTTTTTGATAGTTTTCTTTTTTTCAATTAAGATCTATAAAAGAAAACAAGTGTGAGCTGTATTTGTCATTCTTTCACAGGCACTGCTCAACACTCAAAACAAGCTGAGAGCACTGGTCCCTAATTTCACCTTCAATTTGGGCTTTTCTGGAAAGTTCTATCACACAGGTATGAAACATGTTATTATTGTATACACACTGCTTTCTATTTGCTTAGGAACTGTAAGGGGCTCTGGATGTCTACTCTTGTGCTGACCTGTTATCTGCGCTGAAGCAGGTTACAGCTTACCATAACCTAAATATGAAATTAAAAAGTACCATTGGAAACCAATATTGCAACTGAAGCAGAATATTTAAGATACAGTTATAGATGAATGGGTAAAGGACGTTCTTTACCTCAGTCTTCACTGCCTGATGGCTCTAAGTATTTATTTCTTTACTCCTCAGTGTGCAGCTCAGATACATGTATATTAACATGAGGCCAGAGATAGCTGTGGCCCTAATAAAGTGTGTGTGTGTGTGTGTGTGTGTGTGTGTGTGTGTGTGTGTGTGTGTGTGTGTGTGTGTGTGTGTGTGTGTGTGTGTGTGTGTGTGTGTGTGTGTGTGTGTGTGTGTGTGTGTGTGTGTGTGTGTGTGTGTGTGTGTGTGTGTGTGTGTGTGTGTGTGTGTGTGTGTGTGTGTGTGTGTGTGTGTGTGTGTGTGTGTGTGTGTGTGTGTTAGGTACTGATGTAGAGGATCGTGGAGATGACATGCTGCTGCAACACAGGATGGACTTCTGGTGGTTTCCTCACATGTGGAGCCACATGCAGCCGCACCTCTTTCACAACGTCAGCGTCCTGGCTGAGCAGATGAGGCTCAACAAGATCTTTGCTCAGGTGAGCACCACTAATTCTCTGTGACAAGGCACAGTGTGTGGCTATGTGGAGGGTGGAAGGAGTATGCAGCTGTGGGCCTACAACGACACTCAACCATAGGTGGAGTGAATGGCTAGTGTTACGACTTTATGACCACAGGAGTAGTGTCAACTTCAAAGAGTGTGGAGGTCTTTTGGACCTGTTCTAGACATTGTAGGAATAGCACTGAAAGGAATGTGGGTATGTAAATCAGCAGTACACTTTATCTTCTTGTCGTTCCCATGCTCCTCCTCATGTGCCCACATCCTGTCCTCTCTTTAGGAGCATGGGATCCCCACAGATATGGGCTATGCAGTGGCTCCGCACCACTCTGGGGTTTACCCAGTTCACAGCCAGCTCTATGAGGCCTGGAAGTCTGTGTGGAGCATCAAGGTGACCAGCACTGAGGAGTACCCTCACCTGAGGCCAGCCCGGTACCGCCGCGGGTTCATCCACAATGGCATCCAGGTCAGTCCACATCGCCAAAAGGTTCCTATTGGTCAACATTTCTCCATATAAATAATATATAAAATATAATAATAAAACTTTAGCAATTGTTCAGTTTGTCACTTTGTGCGACCTTAATGTACATTTTGGACGCTTTATGCAGAAAGACACTCGTTGCAATCTATTTCAGTAACAAGGCTCAGGTCAAAGGGCTGGCAGCATGCCACATCAGGCTCACAAAAACATTCAATAAAAGTTGATGGTACTGAGTTGAATGAGACATACACACTCAGAGGCCTAGTGCAGGTCTGGTTCCATATGTTTTTTGAAAATGTTAACATTTGCATTAAAACTTTTCACTAACTCCTCTTTAAAAGAAACTTAAATGTCCCGCATTAAGAAAATAAAGTTGTGATAATCTGTAAATTGTGTCCGAGGGAGAGGAGTTTCCAGTTCAATCTTTTCAGAAAGGATTTGGATTCAGCCTTTCTGCTTTTCCAGAAGAATCATATAGCTAAGTATAGCAGGATCTCTAATACATGCACAATATAGAAATGTGACCTTTGCACCACTCACAGATGCATACATCAGTGTTTCCCCTACCATCGTCTTGGAGGGGCGCCAACGGAGCCCCACGCCCCCCCCCTGAAATTCAAGGTGTTTAATATATATATATATAGCAACTAATCTATAACTACTGTCACTTTTCACATTGAACATGTGCTCTTTTATTAAATAAACTAAACACTTCCATTTGAAGTTGTGAGTTTAGTGTTTTTGACCCTAAGAAACACTGATGCATTAATCAATAACAATAATCCACAGCTCCTCTCTCTGCTCCAGAGGATTACAAACATATATATCCCAATGCCCCCCCCCCGCTCAGGCAGCACCCTCCCAATGCAGTAAACCTAGGGGAAACACTGTACATCATACAGTGCTAGTTCTTTATTCTAAACACTGTGCAGTACTACTGTTATTTATTTGAGTGCAGAATCAAGAGCAAACATTCAAAGGGTTAACATGGATCAGGCTCTGGCTGTTTCTATTGATCCAAAAGTCCATTAGACTTTGTTTAATTACAAAGCTACAATGTCACCAGTTTGTTAAAATGCCAACAAAACCACATGAGCACTAAATAGCCACCATCCTGTGTTTGTGTTCAGGTGCTGCCCAGGCAGACCTGTGGGCTGTTCACCCATACCATCTTCTACAACGAATACCCAGGAGGCTCCAAGGAGCTGGACAAGAGCATCAGAGGAGGAGAGCTCTTCCTCACCGTCCTCCTCAACCCTGTACGCAACCAGAGCGGTGCACATCACACTCTCATCCTCTGCCCGAGTCGTCACTCTTCCTTTTCTATCGCAGCTATTTACTTGAGTTGAGCCATGAGGGAAAAGAGCAGTTTTGGGAGGGGACTTGACTTTAGGGCCAATAGAGATTACCAACAGCAATAGTGTGCATGTTTTTTCTTTTCTTTTGGAGCTCTCATTTATATTAGTAACATACTGCGTATGTGTCTCTAATACCTCCATTAGTGTGTGTGTCTCTGTGTGTGAGAAGAACATTTATATCAGTCAGGTTTAAATAAATATGCATTTAACCAAAACACACACATTGTTTTTGTGGTTCTATCTTGTTTCAAATGTTTTAAAAGAACATTGTAATAGGATATTGTACATGTTAAGAGTTATCCATATACTTGTAGTGTGATTTAAATAATTATCATTTTTCTGCTACCTGTGTCTTTGAAACAGTAACGGGTGACTTTGTGCCTGCCCAATCCAGATCAGCATCTTCATGACCCACCTGTCCAACTACGGCAATGACCGGCTGGGTCTCTACACCTTTGAGTCTCTTGTGAAGTTTGTCCAGTGTTGGACCAACCTCCGGCTGCAGACGCTGCCCCCCGTCCACCTGGCCGAGAAATACTTCCAGATCTTCCCCGAGGAGAGAGACCCTCTCTGGCAGGTCAGAATTTAGATTTAGTTCTTTTTCAAGCTCCTGTTTTTTGCAGACGTGTTTGAAAACTGAATATAGCAGGTACTTTGAAATAAAAGCATTCCATGAATATTCTTCAGAACCCTTGTCATGATAAGAGACACAAAGATATCTGGTCTAAAGAAAAGACTTGTGACCGACTGCCCAAGTTTCTCGTCATTGGACCACAGAAAACAGGTAGCGCACTCTGTCTGCTTTTCATCTTTACCTCAGTCAATATATCTGTCTTTGCTATTCTAAATGTCTTCTTTCCTCAAGGCACTACAGCGCTTCATTCCTTCCTGAGCCTCCACCCAGCAGTCACCAGCTCCTTTCCCAGCCCCAACACCTTTGAGGAGATCCAGTTCTTCAGTGGAGCAAACTATGACAACGGGATTGACTGGTAACACAGGAGTACCATAAACACTGTCTTCACAAAGTCCCATAAACGTGGTGACAGACTGAACACAATATGACTAGAATTTGAATTCCTTTTTTACTTTAAAACTGTATAGGTCTTATTTTCTTAGGTTCAGTTTAGCTTATCTTATTTTTTTCTCTTGTGCAAGACCCTTGACCCCCACACTTCTCCCTGGACACTGTACAGTATCTGCCCACTGCTCCTAATACTGCTAGTCTGAATTCCACTCTGTGTGCTGTATTGTGCATTTGTACAATTGTACGTGTGATAGTACAAGTTTATTTGATTCCTTCATTTCCATTAATGTTGTACTTACCTGACATTCATTGAATGTATGTCAACGTCAATGCGTGATCACTCATCCTCCCCATATGCAGGGAAGGGATCTTTGTGAGCGGCTACACTATAAAAATGGGCTTACGTACGTTATACACAATTCCAGATTAGTGCAGCTTCCAACAAGAGGATATTTGTTCAGTATTTGAAATGAGTTGGAATCATTATTTAGTGTGACATCTGCTCTTTTTGTGATTCAAACGGTAACAGTGAAAGATAACGGGAACAAAAGGCCCGGGGATTTAAGTACTAATTTAGACACAAGCTGACTGGTACTGGTTTTATTTTCGATCCTCAGGTACATGGACTTCTTCCCATTCCCTTCCAATGTCAGCACAGATTTCATGTTTGAAAAGAGTGCCAACTACTTTGACACAGAGGCGGCTCCTAAGAGAGCTGCTGCGCTGCTTCCCAGAGCCAAGATCCTGGCTGTGCTCATCAACCCAGCAGACAGGGCCTACTCCTGGTACCAGGTGAGACCAGCACACACTCAGCAGGGCCCTGACACTCACTGTGTGTCCCACTGTGCAGGGCCCTGACACTCACTGTGTGTCCCACTGTGCAGGGCCCTGACACTCACTGTGTGTCCCACTGTGCAGGGCCCTGACACTCACTGTGTGTCCCACTGTGCAGGGCCCTGACACCCACTGTGTGTCCCACTGTGCAGGGCCCTGACACTCACTGTGTGTCCCACTGTGCAGGGTCCTGACACCCACTGTGTGTCCCACTGTGCAGGGCCCTGACACTCACTGTGTGTCCCACTGTGCAGGGCCCTGACACTCACTGTATGTCCCACTGTGCAGGGTCCTGACACCCACTGTGTGTCCCACTGTGCAAGGTCCTGACACCCACTGTGTGTCCACATTGTGCACGGTCCTCACTGTGCAGGATCCTCACTGTTTTGGGACTTAAAAGCAGTTCAAAACTCTTAAAATTGGTGTGTGTGTGTGTGTTTTAATGAGCACAGCACCAGAGGGCCCACCAGGACCCTGCAGCCCTCAACAACACTTTCCATGCAGTAGTGACGGGCGGCCCCTCGCCCCCCAGAGACCTTCTGGCCCTTCAGAGACGCTGCCTTCACCCCGGAGCCTACGCTCCTCACCTGGAGCGCTGGCTGCAGCACTACCAGCCCACACAGGTAACACACACACACACACACACACACACACACACACACACACACACACACACACACACACACACACATCAGTACGGTTCATTCAATTGTCAAGTGAGGTTTAAAGCAACTTTGGAAACGTCTCAAAAATATCTTCAGAGGTCAGTTTCCCTCCTCTATGGTCAGGAGTTGGAGCTATAGGCTTGCATGGTTTGATCCTTCAGTAAACATAGAAGAACATGTAGAGGTTGAAGCAGAAACATCTAACCATCTACGAGAAAAAAAAAAACGTTTTAGTTCCTCCTTGACGTTAGCTAGCACTTTCCATTTTGAATGCTGACAATAAGGAATAACAGATGCAGCTGATCAGACGTCAAGATTTAAATGTTAACAACACATTTATTCTGCAGGTATTTTCCTTAAGGCAAAAACCTCCTTAAGAAGGCATTATAAATATTTTCTCAATACAGCTTATCGAATGAGACACTTTAAAATGCACATAGAAATATGTGAATGGAAACACAGCTACAATAAAAGGCCTTTTAACACAAGTAAAATCTGCCTGGCAAAACAAGGTTTCATGTAGTTACAATAAAGCTCACAAGCACTACATAAAGATGGCGTACGTATAGGAACAAAGGAAGTGCTTACACACTAAAAAATGAGTTCTCATGAACTAAGTACAGATCGCGTTCACACCGGAATTAGAGATGGGTGAGTCTTGATTCATCCGGATCATTAACCCGGATCCTAGTAATGAGCTGGTCGTGACGAGTCTCCCCTCTCCATTAACCAGAGTCCTTTGAGTCCTACACCTGGTGTGACATACAAATTAAAACTATAAATTGCGTCACTCGCTACTCTCTTTATAACATGTAAAATCACATTACAACGTACCCCAGTCCATCTGCCTTTAGAAAGTAGGATAGCTGCCAGAAGTTATCGTTTGGCTCAGGGGACGCGGATCAGTGAAACTTCCTGCAGACTCGTGGGGACTCAGAGCCGTAACCGTGTAGCAGATCCAGAGATCCAGACCCGTCATGCACGAGCATAGCCGCGGGAACTGGGAAGTCATTTTACTTAGGGGGTGCGGACAAAAGTGGGGAGAGATTTCAACAACAGTAACATTACGTTTTTCAAATATACACCATTCGCAGCCCCTCCTCCAGTACCCCTACTTCCCGTGGCTATTGTGCACGAGTCAACAGCAGACTCAGAGATTCGCAAATCCTGACTCACTGTGCAAAACATAGCAGACTCGTGCGGACTCAGAGCCGTAACCGTTGAGCAGCAGATCCAGAGATCCAGACTCGTCCTCATGCACGAGTCAACAGCAGACTCAGAGCCGTAACCGTTTAGCAGCAGATCTAGAGATCCAGACTCGTCCTCATGCACGAGTCAACAGCAGACTCAGAGCCGTAACCGTATAGCAGCAGATCTAGAGATCCAGACTCGTCCTCATGCACGAGTCAACAGCAGACTCAGAGCCGTAACCGTATAGCAGCAGATCTAGAGATCCAGACTCGTCCTCATGCACGAGTCAACAGCAGACTCAGAGCCGTAACCGTATAGCAGCAGATCCAGAGATCCAGACTCGTCCTCATGCACGAGTCAACAGCAGACTCAGAGCCGTAACCGTTTAGCAGCAGATCCAGAGATCCAGACTCGTCCTCATGCACGAGTCAACAGCAGACTCAGAGCCGTAACCGTATAGCAGCAGATCTAGAGATCCAGACTCGTCCTCATGCACGAGTCAACAGCAGACTCAGAGCCGTAACCGTATAGCAGCAGATCTAGAGATCCAGACTCGTCCTCATGCACGAGTCAACAGCAGACTCAGAGCCGTAACCGTATAGCAGCAGATCCAGAGATCCAGACTCGTCCTCATGCACGAGTCAACAGCAGACTCAGAGCCGTAACCGTTTAGCAGCAGATCTAGAGATCCAGACTCGTCCTCATGCACGAGTCAACAGCAGACTCAGAGCCGTAACCGTTTAGCAGCAGATCTAGAGATCCAGACTCATCCTCATGCACGAGTCAACAGCAGACTCAGAGCCGTAACCGTTTAGCAGCAGATCCAGAGATCCAGACTCATCCTCATGCACGAGTCAACAGCAGACTCAGAGCCGTAACCGTATAGCAGCAGATCTAGAGATCCAGACTCGTCCTCATGCACGAGTCAACAGCAGACTCAGAGCCGTAACCGTATAGCAGCAGATCTAGAGATCCAGACTCGTCCTCATGCACGAGTCAACAGCAGACTCAGAGCCGTAACCGTTTAGCAGCAGATCTAGAGATCCAGACTCGTCCTCATGCACGAGTCAACAGCAGACTCAGAGCCGTAACCGTATAGCAGCAGATCTAGAGATCCAGACTCGTCCTCATGCACGAGTCAACAGCAGACTCAGAGCCGTAACCGTATAGCAGCAGATCCAGAGATCCAGACTCGTCCTCATGCACGAGTCAACAGCAGACTCAGAGCCGTAACCGTATAGCAGCAGATCTAGAGATCCAGACTCGTCCTCATGCACGAGTCAACAGCAGACTCAGAGCCGTAACCGTATAGCAGCAGATCTAGAGATCCAGACTCGTCCTCATGCACGAGTCAACAGCAGACTCAGAGCCGTAACCGTATAGCAGCAGATCTAGAGATCCAGACTCGTCCTCATGCACGAGTCAACAGCAGACTCAGAGCCGTAACCGTATAGCAGCAGATCCAGAGATCCAGACTCGTCCTCATGCACGAGTCAACAGCAGACTCAGAGCCGTAACCGTTTAGCAGCAGATCTAGAGATCCAGACTCGTCCTCATGCACGAGTCAACAGCAGACTCAGAGCCGTAACCGTATAGCAGCAGATCCAGAGATCCAGACTCGTCCTCATGCACGAGTCAACAGCAGACTCAGAGCCGTAACCGTATAGCAGCAGATCTAGAGATCCAGACTCGTCCTCATGCACGAGTCAACAGCAGACTCAGATTCCAATCAGACATAGGAACCTTTTTCTGTAAGGAGTGTAAAAAGGTTCTCATGAACAAATTTTAGTTCCGGATTTTTTTGGAGTGAACGCAACATTTTGGAACTATATCGGAGCTAAAGTGGGAAAAATACTGCGGTGTGAACGTGCCTAAAGATACGCCCCATATTAATACTCATTTAGACTGACTGCATGAAGAAGATCGTAGCAAATGCCGACAGAACAGCTAAAAACCAACATTTCACGCTGACAGATTTTGGTTCTTTTGGGGAAACAAGTCAATCCGATTGTTTGGTGGACGCAGTTTGAAGTTTACAAAGAGATGCAGCATGAAGGTCGGATCCTCACCGAAATAAATAAATAAGTTGTACGAAAAAGTGAATGCTTTGTAAAGGAAATAAAACAGATGTGTGACATCAGCTGTTCAATTGACCAAACACATGTTGTTCTTAGTTTTCATACCTCTTGTGTTTTAGGAGCATCACGTCTTGGCGAGCGGCATTATAATAATTCACTTTATTTGTAAAGTTCCGTTTAAAACAAAATCAATGCTTAACCATTTGAACACATAATTACTGTATATAGTATATACAACTATGCACTGGTATCTACACGACCTACAGAAATGCAAAACGGCATCAGTTGAAAGTAATTCTGTCTTTCTGTTTCGCGCATCATTTATTAGAATACATTTCATAACATGTAAGAGAGTTTTCAATAACATATCCGTATTTATTTATTTCTCCAAGTTATGTTTTTGTGTGCACTCAGGAGTATCAGACAGGCGTTTGTTTCATCATTTTAAGATTGGCTTTTACCCATTTCTGTAAATGTATTCTTCATATATGATGCAGAGAGATTTATGGTATTGTTTTACATGTTTCTCTCCATCCTTCCTTCGGTCAATGCTGTCGCAGTTTCTCATGTCTCCCGTCTCTGTGCGTACGCATGGGTCAGAGTGTCCGTGGAGGACCACTGATCTGTCAAGTTAGTTTTTTATAAATCACAGAGATTGCTCAGGAACTGGCGTACGCCATCCTTTGATCGTACGCTGCGTTTATAAATCAGGCCCCAGAACACAGGTAGCAAAGGTAACAGTGCTGCAACATGCTCTGCTGCCCCCTGCTGTCCAGTCTGAGGTTTACCACTCAATATATAATACTTTATGGACAGAGCATTAACAGGAATATGTTGTTGCTATAGATACTGTGTTCAGCACACGTAGGCATCACATGCCTGTGAAGGGTGTACACAATCCTAACAGGCTGCTCAAAGTAGATGTAAACGCAGCTGATGTTAGCCTAGCAGTCAGATCAGCTGTGTGTGTTCAGTATACTGTGATGTGAACACTTCCTCTTGAGGTGTGTTACAGAGAAGATGTATCTGTAGAAAGTGTGTGTATGATGGATACACAGTATCGGGAACTGGATCAGTGTTGAATGCTATCTATTACTTTATCCTATTCTTCATCTCCAGCTGTGGTTTTCAACCTGTTAACAGCACCAGCTACTGCTATATTTTATATGGTCATTTATTTCAAATATACTTCTTTTTTTCTACCATGTTGTACTTATCTGTTACTTGTTTTTTTCACTTATTGTGTTTAATTATTAATAACGTGTCAACTTTTTTATATAATATGTAAATCAACCCTTTTTTAGTTAATCTGAACTATACTCTTGCTGTTTCAATTTGTCCCATTGCGGGACAAATAAAGGAATTCTAATAATGGCTACTTAAACACCAATGGAGGCAAGCATGGATTATGATCTCAGTGGTAACTACGTTCCTGTGGGAGGGGCATTGGGGGACTGCCACGATGTAAACGGCTGTACAGAAGCTGTATCATCATGTGACTGATCATGTGACTGTGCTCTGTGGTGTAGCTGCACATCGTGGACGGAGCTCTGCTGCGCTCCAACCCTGCACTTGTGATGGAGGGAATCCAGAGATTCCTCGGGGTCACTCCCATCTTCAACTACACCCAGGCTCTAATGTTCGTAACTCACACACACACATTATGCACATTAGAAGTTCAACATTTAGATAGAAAACATTTTAAAAAATGTAAGAGTTAAAACCAGCATATGTTTCCATACATCACGTGTGAAATAAACTGTTGTTGTCAACAGGTACGATGACAGCAAAGGTTTCTGGTGTCAGCGTGAGGGAGGTCGAGCCAAATGTCTGGGGAAGAGTAAAGGCAGGAAGTACCCGGAGATGAGTCCTGAGGTACATCTCACTCTGCTTCACTCAATGAGCCAACAGAAGCATTTAAACAATGGTTTTGGTCCACTTAAACTTGGCTCTTGTTTCTAGTCTATAAGTAATAATAAATTGTACCTACAATGTTTACATTAATATAATATTGTGGCACCTGGGCCTGTTTTAAACACACTGTAGGAACTGCACTGCAGTAGAGCACCAACCATGTGTTACTCCGCTGCTGAAAGTAGTCTCCTACAAATGCACCGTAACATGTGTTAGAAACTACAGAGAGCAACTGTTTGAGGGAATGAGCTGCTTCTAGAGGTTAAAACCTTCAGTAGGAAACAAAGACAGGACTAACAGTTTTTTTTATGGAATTATAATTATTTTAAAATAACAAAAACATAGAATAACAACCTTCAAACCCCAGCAGTCCGTGCAGCACTGCAGAAGCCCCCCAGCAGCATATTGACCTACTGTGTACCGACCTCTGACATTTCCCAATCTCTTTGTGTGTGTGTGTGTGTGTGTGTGTGTGTGTGTGTGTGTGTGTGTGTGTGTGTGTGTGTGTGTGTGTGTGTGTGTGTGTGTGTGTGTGTGTGTGTGTGTGTGTGTGTGTGTGTGTGTGTGTGTGTGTGTGTGTGTGTGTGTGTGTGTGGTGTGTGTGTGTGTGTGTGTGTGTGTGTGTGTGTGTGTGTGTGTGTGTGTGTGTGTGTGTGTGTGTGTGTGTGTGTGTGTGCACGCGTGCACGCAGTCCCGTACCTTCCTGACTGAATACTACCGCGAGCACAACATGGAGCTGCTGCGTCTGCTGAATCGGTTGGGCCACCCGCTGCCGTCCTGGCTTCGCCAAGAACTCCAGAGCACGAGCTGGAGCTGAGGCCAGCTCTCACACACAAACACACACACACATACAGACACACACACAGACAGGAAGGCTGGGACTGGTGTCTGGACAAACCCAACACTCGGCTCTGATGAAACTGGAGTCCCTGATCTGGAATCAGCAGAAGTTCAGTGTGAAGGTTTCTGCTGTTCACCGGAGAGGAGACAGTTCAGATTGTGGCTCTGCAGAGGACCCCAGAGGACAGCTTTAGTGGCACTGGGTCCTCAGTGTGTGTGTGTGTCTGAGTGTCTGACAGGCTGACACTGAACATCAGGGTGTTGTGGATCCACAGAACTATAAGGACAGGTCAGCCTTAATGTGAGTCTTATTGTGTATGACCCGTTACAGACACACACACATCTACCTGCAGGTTCCTGTCCTCTGCACACATTTAAAGTGGGTGAAGCTGTGTGATGACAGGTGGATGTAAATACCATGTGATGGATGTTCTGCAGGCTCCGCCCACACTGTCAGCCAGCAGCTGTCTCACTGTCCTCTCACTGAGCTAAAGGTCCTGACTGATGGTGGACTGCTCTCTCTGTCGGCTAAAGTCTCCATTTAATCTCCAGGTTTTTTTATGTAAGATTGATTAAATATGAGCTGTTAACCTAATTAGCATAGATGATGAAGAGTGTATATATACTTGTGGCACAGTGGGTTGAGCGTTGGTGATCAGATCAGGGGGTCACAGGTTCAAACCCCACTGCAGGCAGCATGTCGTTGTGTCCCTGAGACACTTCACCTCAAAGTGCTCCTGTGGGGATTGCCCTCAGTATTGAGTATGTAAGTCGCTTTGGATAAAAGCGTCTAACAAGTGACATGTCATGAAATATATGGGGACCATGCAGCAAGCTGCTGAGCAAAGGTTGTGTTGCACCACCACATTTTTACTTATTTAATCTGAGTGATTCTGAATAAAGTTTCAAACCTCTGGAGCAGAACCCTCAGCTGCTGTGATGTCATATCGTTAAGGAATGATTGGCCTGCTTGGGAACCAGTGTCCATGGAAACAGTTTGCAGTGTTGTCTCATTTCTGAGCTGGAGGCTTCACCTTCTCCACAGCAGTTGAGGCTCATGGGTAATGTCAGGACGAGACTGGTTGTTCACCATTACTATTAAATGAAAATCATGAACAACAGCAAAATTACGAATGACATTTTCCAAAGAGACAAAAGTTATATGGAACAGGTAAATTCAAAATATACTGTAAGCAAGGCTATATATTGTAATGTTTTCAACTTTATTGTTTATAAAAGTATAAATAACGCCACCATAAACCTAAAGGCTGAATTTAAAATATTCAAACATGCACTCAGAACAGTGGGGGGTGCACTCTGAGCCCCTGTCACCCCGCTCTGCATGGTGACCTGTCATTCAAAACTGATGGAGATTTTCTGAGAATCAATGCATTATGGCAAAACATGTTCATACAGCCATAGTAAAATATTCCAGTGTGACTCTTGTTTTGTGTTAATAGTCAGCTAAAGTGGAGATAACCCATGATGCACCTGTTTCCACACACACAAGACTAACATGAAGTTAACCGACATGGACCAGTGTGGCTCCAGTAACACAGTGCTCCACAGTGAGAGGGCTGAGAGAACAGAAAGAAGCCTTCACTAGTCAATCGTCTTCTAAAAACCTACACAGACTGCTAAACACACACTCACCCCTCACAAACACTCACAGTCTTGTCTCCATCAGAGGACAGTAGGGCAGGATGTCAGTGTGTGGAGACGACCAGAAGCTGCTGTCTAGTTTTCTGTTTGTTTTGTATAAATGTCAGAAAGGCCAACACTGTATCATCTCTAATAAACAGAGAGGTTGGAAATGATGTCTGATGCGTCCGTGTTACCTCACTGATCAAACGGGTCGGAACCAACAGCAGGAAAAGGAGTCGTGCTCCGTAAGTCTTCCTCAAGAAGGCTCTAGTGTCCGAGGGCACTCCAAAGCAACATTGGGTTACTGCAAGTTTAACATGCACACACAGCACACAATGAAAGAAACGCTTTTAAGATGATCTCTAAAGCAGCCACACATGCACTGCAAACACACCGACATATACGAAAGAAAATGAGATGCTACTGAAACACAAACGCACAGCTGCTCCAAGGAAATCTCAGCTTTAATCTGCACAGCTGTTAGCCACACACACAGTACCACACAACTCTAATCTCCACTGGGGTCATGAATAATGTTGTAGAGATCATCCACAGTGAAGAGTTTAATAGACATGGCCCATCCATGAACATTTGCAGTACCCTGCTGAGGGAAGCCTGAATGAAACGCTGGAGGACTTCTCATCCGGCCTTCTTCACATTCCATTGAGCTCACCACTGCTGGAGCCCCGCTCTGTGTCCGTCACATCAACACAGCAGCCTTTGTCTTTTCATTTAGTTCCATTCTCATTCTTTTCTTGGGATTGTATTGGCTTTGAATACATGATGAAGAGGAAGTACATTTATTTTAAATGATAAAGTTCCAAAAAGTGAGGCTTCCTAATGAGCTCTGTTTGTGATTGTTCAGGACAGGAAGACCTCTCACTGTGTGTGGTGTCTTTTTTCAAAACTGATTTATTTGTATCTTTTGCATTTGTATAAGTTGTCTTACATTTTGTTGATGTGAAAGTCTCTCTCTGTCTTCAATGATAAGTCGTGATTGTTGCTTACTTTATTCTTCAGAAATGATGAATGGAGCTCTGCCTGAAGACATGTTGGCATGTTCACCGCTTCCTCCTCCTTGGTTAACATTTAGTTTAACATGAATTGTTTTTTAGACATGAGTTCATCTACATGTGGAGGTTGCTACAGAGTCACACCACCCACTTTCACTGCTCTCTGGGGTCAATGTCTGTAGGAGGCAGAGAGTGGTTCATCCCCCTTTAAAGCTGCACGTTGTGTAGTGCAGCCCACGACAAATAGAGCACTGAGTATTTTTGCTCTAGTACTAATACTTATATCTACATAACAATGACTGTAACACATCAGAGTGGCACCTTACTTTATCCTCTCCAAACTGGGAGCTGAAGTCCCGCCTCTGACCGATCAGCAGGGGAGGGAGGGTTACTATAAAAATGTATTTCGTTACAATTACTGGTTACTTGTAAAAAAGAAATGTAATCAGCAACGCAATCTAAGTAACACAATATAAAAGTAATGTAACCTGATTACTTTCGGTTACTTTTGGATTACCTCAATGCCAAATGCAAACCAAATCATTACAAAAGTAAATAAATATACAAATATGTTTATTATGTAAGACAACAGAACAATGTGTCATCACAAATTAAGGCAAGGCTATGGGCATAGATATGTCTCATAATTATTTGTGTGAACATAAAAATAATTTGTGTGTAAATATGTGATTTGTAAATGTAAAACAACATCCACAAATGCATTTAAAAGATTTGCAAACTCACAAATACATTTGCAAGTGTAAAACGGATCTGCAAATACGCTAAATATGTTCACAAATAAAAAAAAGATCTGTGAATATCTCTTTAACATTTACACCTTTCGATCAGGCATTTGTGAATCCAATTTGTATTTGTGGACCAAAAATGCGCTTGCGGATCTCAAATCTCTGTTCACGGATCGTCTTTTTACACACACGGAATTTTGAGCCGAACAGAGATTTGAGATCCGTGAACAGAGATTTGAGATCCGCAAGCGCATTTTTGGTCCACAAATACAAAATGGATTCACAAATGCCTGATCGAAAGGTGTAAATGTTAAAGAGATATTCACAGATCTTTTTTTTATTTGTGAACATATTTAGCGTATTTGCAGATCCGTTTTACACTTGCAAATGTATTTGTGAGTTTGCAAATCTTTTAAATGCATTTGTGGATGTTGTTTTACATTTACAAATCACATATTTACACACAAATTATTTTTATGTTCACACAAATAATTATGAGACATATCTATGCCCATACAAGGCCTACAGAATACTATTGTTTACAAATTCAGTTTTAGCTTAAAACTTTAATTAAAAGTAAACACATTTTTATTTATTTAGTAAATCGGGTGTCCATCTACTGCATAAAATATATATATATACATATACAAGAAGAATTAAAGGTGTCCTATCATGCAACATGCACTTGTTGATGTCTTTTATACCTCAACATGTGTCCCCGGTTTGTAAGGAGACTCACAAAGTGTCAGAAAACAAAACCCTCTCTCTTTTCCTCCGTACCCACATCTCTAAAAACGGGGGTTCAACGGAGCTGATCCAGATTTGCTGCCGATATGACGTCATATTGGAGATGTGGGCTGGCCTGGCTTTACACCCATCAGAAACGTTTCCATCAGTAACAATGCACAACGTGTTTTGGACGTAATATGATCTTTGTTTACATTAGCAAGACACATCAATATATACTCATGTTGCTAGAGTCACTGGTCGAGGAGGTTGAGTCGCAGCCATCTACGACTCAAGTCTTCTCATAAAAACCAAATCAAAAACTCTTTCGAAAGCCTCATTCTTAGTATTTTGCACCCAACTTGGAAAACAATTCAGCCAATATGAATTGTATATCGGGCCCCAGGTCCTTATTCTGAATTCATATCTGAATTTTCAGAATTGTTATCAAGTTTAATCCTTAAAACCTATAAAGTCATTATTGTGGGTGACTTTAATATTCACGTTGACGTTGACAATAGCCTGAATATTGTTTTTACCTCATTATTAGATTCAATTGGTTTTATACAGAATGTACATCAACCACACCCTCAACATTGTTCTAACATAACGTATTCAAATTGAGCATCTATCGGTCAGTGCTCATAACCCTGTTTTATCTGATCACTACTTATTCACTTTTGGTGTTCTGTTATTAGACTATAAGCCACTGCTTAAGAAAGCCTACAAAAGATTCTGCTGTAGCAACAAGTATGGAAATAATTCCATCAGTGCTTAGCTCATTAACATCTCACAGTCCAAGGGAGGACTCCTTTACTAACCTTACGCCCCCCCAAATAGATCATATGATTGATAGTGTTACAGGGGCGCTAAAAATAACACTGGACTCTATTGCCCCTTTTAAAATTAAGAAAATGAAACAAAGAAGACTAGCTCCATGGCATAACAATGAAACACGCATAATAAAGCAGAGGACAAGGCAACTTGAAAGGAAATGGCGCTCCACCAAGCATGAAGAATTTCGGTTACTCTGGCTTGATAACCTTAACAAATATAAGAAGGCACTACGCACTGCCAGAGCAGCTTATTATTCCTCCCTAATAGAAGAAAATAAAAACAATACCAGGTTTCTTTTTAGTACAGTAGCCAGGCTGACCGAGAGTCACAGCTCCATTGAGTCTTCTATTCCTACATCCATCAGTAGTAATGACTTTATGAACTTCTTTAATGATACAATTATAACTCTCAGGGACAAAATAAACCACCACCTACCCTTAGCCAGCACTGAATCACCCTTAACACCAGACATATACTTAGAGTGCTTCTCTCCTATAGACCAAAACCAACTCAATTTAATTATTTCATCCTCTAAAGCACATGTGTCAAACTCAAGGCCCGGGGGCCAAATCAGGCCCGTGGTGGATTTAATTTCGGCCCGCAGAATAATTTCTAATTACTATTAGATCTGGCCCGCCGGTATATTGCACGCACACCTTCACTCTATCCTGAGGGTTTCCTCAGCTCAGAGCCTGAGCCCAAACATTGATGACCTTGCACCCAAGATGAGACGCCAAGTATCTGAACTAGCATCACAGAGCAGCACACTGAGTTTAATGGATGTTTCCTTCTGCACTTTTTCTCTCACGACAACAGAGCACGTTTGGTTTTTTCTTTGAGGGAAATAGTTTTTTTTAAGCTGTTGTTGGCCTGTGGGAAAATGTAAATGACTCCGGAAAAGCTGCAGATAGAGCCAAATTAATGCAACTGATTATTTAATGTTTAATGTTGTTTTTATAGGCAATCATTTAAGCCTTGTTAGTTCCAAGTTTATTATGTGCAATAAGTTAATTTCACTACGTTTTGCAATAAACATTGAACCAGTCCGGCCCTCGACTAGTACCGATTTTTTTATTTTGGCCCACTGTGTATTTGAGTTTGACCCCCCTGCTATAAAGCATCTACCTGTATCTTAGTCCCTGTTCCATCTAAGCTGTTCAAGGAAATGTCTCCCCTAATTAATCCACCTGTATTAAATATGATGAATATATCTTTACTGTCAGGCTATGTTCCACAGTCATTTAAAGTAGCTGTAATTAAACCTATTATAAAAAAACAAACCTTGATCCTGAGGTTATGGCCAACTACAGGCCAATATCAAACATTCCCTTCCTCTCAAAAATCCTTGAGAAAGCAGTGGCCTCACAATTGTGTGAATTTGTAAGTACAAATTGTTTATTTGAGAAATTCTAGTCAGGTTTTAGAAAACATCATAGCACAAAGACAGCACTGGTTAAAGTCACAAATGACCTGCTTTGTGCATCTGATAATGGACTTGCCTCTATCCTGGTTCTGTTAGGATAGGTTCCGCTGCCTTTGACACTATTGACCATAACATACTACTCCAAAGATTAGAGTTTTTGATAGGTATAAGGGGACCTGCACTAAGCTGGTTCAGGTCTGATCTATCAAAACGGTCTCAGTTTGTATCTGTCAACGATGAATCCTCATTACAAACTACAGTCAGTCATGGAGTACCGCAAGGGTCTGTACTTGGACCCATCCTGTTCATCATATATATGCTACCATTGGGCAATATCATAAGGAATACCTCCATCAATTTTCATTGTTATGCAGATGATACACAATTGTATCTATCAATTAAACCAGATGTACAATTTCCATTAGTTAAA